TTGGGGAGAAATGCCTGGGCTCTCCTATACTAATCATATATCATAAGTATATATATATATATAATTATATATATATAATATATATATATATACTATAATTACAATTATTATAATAATTATGATATACATTAACTTATACTAATCGACTACAACCAGACTGACTGAACAAGAACGAGGAAACATTAACTCACAGAACAAGACAACGTAATATCGGAATATACCAATAACAACAGTAATGGGACACGCAATACAACATTCCCATTCTTAGCCAACGTTATCACATGGCAGAAACGACGTACCACCAAGACACATGATGAGCGTAAACAAGTATTCCGTCCTTATACCAGGTCACGTGGAGGTCAGGCCCGCCGTACACAGGACACCGCAGGACCAGTTTCTGTCTGTCGGGGAATTCGGCTGACACGGGCTGTGGGGAAGGGGAGGCGAGGTAGGTTTAGAGTGGGTGTGGGGGAATGGGGACAATGGGAATGGGAATGACATTGGGAACGGGATTGACATTGGGAATGGGAATGACACTGGGAGTGGAGGTGGAGGTGGGAATGAGAATGAGTCGGAATGGGAGTTGTTGTGTTGTTGTTGTTGTGTGTGGGGTGTTATTTGTTTACGTGAATTTACATTTACCTATTTGATCAGATAGACATGTACATTGCCATGCATATGTGTATATAATATTAATTGGCTTGATACACAGAGGCACAGAGGGAAGATATAGGGTGAGATGGATAGAGGAAGAGAGAAATGGGAGGAAGGAACAGAGAAATGGGAGAGGGAGGACAAGAGACAGGGAAGCAGGGGTAAAAGAAGGGAGAGGAAGGGAGAGAGGGAAGGAGGAGGGAAAGGAAGGAAGGTTGGGGTGAGGGGAAGGAGAGGGAGAGGAATGAGGAAGAGGGAAGGAGATTGAGGGAGGAGAGGGGGAGGAGGGGAAAGAGGGAGAGGAAGGAGGGAGGGAGGTAGAGAGGAAGAAAAGGGAGGAGAGGGAGGGGGAGAAGGGGAGTTAGAAGGCGGAATGGAGGAGGAGGGAGACGGAGACGGAAAACAAAGACGACAAAGAGGAGGAAGAGGGATAACAACGAGGACAAAAAGAAGAGAAAAGAGAGAGGAAAGAGGAAATACAAACGTCGAGATAGGAAAGAAATTACGAGGAAAACGAAGGGAATAACGGAAAGAGCAAAGATGAAAGCTCGCGAAAACAGAGGGAGAGAGTGGATAACCAAGGAAAACAAATAGATACACCACAGACAAAAGGAAGAGAAAAAGAGACGAGAAATGCCCCTCCACACATACCCCAACGGACAGGCGTGGGATGGCACTGATGTTGACGCTCCGGGTGTGAAATGTCCGATTCCATAATTCTGTCTTGCTAATTTTTTCCATGAAGTTTTTCCCGGTCAGGCCTACTTCCACCTCAACTTTCTTGCCTCTGGATGTAAAAAAAAAAAATCCAGATGAAAAAAAGCGTTAATCTTTATAGAGCAACTTTCCTCGTTGTCGTTAATCTTTAAAAAATCCTGTGGATGATAAAAGCGTTAATCTTTAAAAAGAGATTGCCTCATTGTCCAAAAAGGCTTTAATCTTTAAAAATACATTGCCTCATTGTCCACAAAGGCTTGATATCAATCTTTAAAAATTAATGGGCTCACTGTAAAAAAAGGCTCATTGCCTTTTTTTCTTAATTAAAGGAAAATAAAGGAACAAGATTAACAAGTATACAGCAGACTCACTTTATTGTGATTTTCATTATATCCTTTTCGGCTCTTCCACTCGGATCTCCTCTGCCCAGTATCTGCAGAGTCTGCCCAAGGAAAAAAAATATTCAAAACAAAATATAATGGTAGTCATTATATTTATACATTGTATTTCTCCATTTTATTCGTCCGTGAACCACCTGAACATTTAATTTTACATTCATACTAGCATGATCTGTAAATTCATGACAAAAGAAAATAAAGAAATGGGCAGATTTACCTGATTTCGGATCTTTTCCATGGAGAGGTGCCGGCCTCTGCCTATCTTCATGGCGGCGGACAGGACCCACTCCTCTGAGCGAAGGAGAAAATTGGTTATTGACGGGAATGGTCTGACTGGGTTATGAGGTGAGGACAATGTGGCAAGGCTTGAAGCTGATAAATAATTTGTTTTCGCGTATTGATATAGATAAATTACTGCTAGTGTTCGTGTATAATGAAATATAAAAGGTATTGACATGACCATCTTTCTACCTATATATATTCCACGTATCAACCCCTGGAAGTTGCGCACGGACAAGTACACGTACACGTTCGTATACGACACACACACGCACACGTACTCACACTCCACACCACCCATCTTCCCAAGCTCCACCCCTCCAAGCTCCCACTCACCCTCCCGCTCCATCTCACCATCCCAAGCTCCCACCCACTCTCCCTCCCAAGCTCCCACCCACTCTCCCTCCCAAGCTCCACCCATTCTCCTATTCTCCCACCCACTCTCCCAATTTCCCACCCACTCTCCCACTCGCTCACTCACTCTCCTCACTCATCCCACCCACTCTCTCTCCCACTCACCCACTCTCCTCACTCCCTCTCCCAAGGCAACCAAACACCCCGCGTCTCCCCACCTGTTGCCCGGCAGTGGGTCCCGTTGACGGCCGTGTATCCAACGCCACAGGAACAGTAGGTGTAGGTCAGGTTCCTCGCCACGCGCAGGTGACAGTTCTGCTGACAGTCCATTCTCCCCTGGCACGCTGTTGGCACGGGGGGGGGGGGGGGGCGTCTCAGATCGGGTTCGACATTATTCGTTTGGGGTTTTGGGGGGTGGGGTGGGTGATGCTGGTGATGAGGTTTAATAGCTTGGTCGACTGTGTGTGAATTGATGATTACTGATTTGGTGGTGGTGAAATATTGACAGATTGATAATGATGATGAATGATAAATGATAGATGTTGATAGATGATAAATTATTATAAATGATATAAATGATGATAGATGATGATAAATGATGACGGATGATAAATGATGATAAATAATGATGACGATGACGATGGATACGAGAATGGATTGATATTGATAATGACTGATATTGATTATGATTATGATTATGATGACGATGATAATGACGGACTGATATTGATGATGACGATGACGATGAGGATGATGACGACGACTGCGACGTGACGACGACCACGACGATGACGATGATGGACTGATATTGATAATGACTGATATTGATTATGATGGTGATGATGGATGAGATGAATGACGATGATACTAATACCAAAACCAGAACAAGACAATTATACAAAAAAATATTGATGTCTAACAATAACAACAAAACTTATAATAATTATAAAATTAGTGCCTAAAATGACAATGCTGATGATAATCACCCCACAGCATAACCCTTATAAATGATCCTATTTCAGACCAATGGAACAGATAATAGAGAAATGAAATAGATTATACAAAATAAATGAACTGATATGTAAAGCAAATAACTAAACAAACACTAAATATATAACTGAGTAAATTAATAAAACAAACAAAGCCAATAACCAAACAAATCAATCAATAATAAACAAATAAATATATAGATAAAATAAAATAAAATCAATAAACAAAAAAAAAAAAAAATCAATAAACAAAAAAAAAAAATCAAAAAAATAAACAAAAAAAAACAAAAAAAAAATCAAAAACAAAAAACAAAAAAAGATAAACAAAAAAACAAAAACAAAAACAAAAAACAAAAAACAAAAAAAAAAAAAACAAACAAATCAATAAACAAAAACACAACAAACAAATCAACCCATCCCTCCCTCCATCCGCCCACAAGACCCGCCCCTTCCTCACTCCTGCTCTGCGTCGGGATGTTGGTGAAGTGCAGCTGACACGTGGCGCCGAAGTGGTCCCGGTCGCAGGCGCAGGCGCTCACCCCGGCCACGTTCCTGCGAAGGGAGGCGGGGGCGTGTAGGCCTAGATTCAAGGTCCTGGGCCGGCGTGGGTTCTGGGGCCATTCGAAGGGGGGGGGGGGATTCGAGTTTTGGAGAGGGGTGGGGGTGGGTGTTAGGGTGGGGTGGATGGATTTGGAAGTGTCGATAGCGGGTAGATGGGTGGATGTGTGTTGAGTGTAGCTGTGGTGTGGTTTGGCGTGGGGGTAGGTAGTGGGTGGTTGGCGTGGATGGTTTGGGTGGGCGTGGAAGGGCATGGGTGCGCGCTTTGCGCGCGTGTGTGTGTGTATACTTAACTTCGTATCCTTAGGTTTGTATACATAGTATTAGACTATAAGGGTATATACGCAGGTATTTAATGCACATGTCTACCTCAGTGTACACAAACAGGACTGACCTACACGCCCCATGGTGGTCACACAACCTCTCGGCGTGCTCCTTGGTGCAGACTCCGCCCCACTGGCAGTGCGGGCCCGACACCCCCACAGGACACTGGCACGCGAATCTGTACTTCCTGCCAAAGAGGGGAAGCTCACTAAGGGAAGTCAATTAATCGTAATCAAAACAGACTCATCTGTCTCTCTGTCTCTTGTTAGGCTGCAAATAAAAAGAATGAAAACTGATCATCAATGGAAATAACAAAATTCAAACGTTCGAAGATATGGACAAACACAATCGGCCAACTTGTTAAAGCCCAATGGAATATTTACACACATGCCGGACATACATATAGACTGAGATAAATGCATACTGTCTCTCTGTCGATAGATAATATACATTTATCTATCTGTCTGTCCGCTAATAATGCAAATGTCCTTAAACTGATAGCATAGCACTTATTTTTGTGTATGTGCATGGGGAAGGCTAGATCAGTAGTAAACTCGAGTGGTGTCATGGCGTGCTGTTTTGAGATGTTGTGAAAATATGAAATCATAAAACCATTATCATTTTCCGCATCCTTTTGAAAAAATTGAAGAGACCAAAAATGAATCGACCATATTCACAAAGCCATCCGTAACTTTGGTGACGTCATCAAAAGCAAACCCCACGCGCCTTTTACCAAAAAATAGAATCAGCGACATGACACCTCCTCGAGGTTGCAACTGATCTAGCCTTCCACCGTGTGTGGGATGTCCGTATAATGAAAATTATATTGGGTCAGCACATTTTTTAACAAAACCGGCCGGAATGAAAGGTTAAAATACAGCAACAACAACAGCGCCACACCCTACACCAACAACAACAACAGCTGCAGACGCGTCAAGTTAACCGGCTCCGATTCATCTTCACAATTAAACCGATTGGATTAATCAAAAATCAAAAAGAAAGAAATCTAGCTATCAATTTACGGACACTTGATAAGATTCGCTAATCGGAGGGGTGAAGCGAGGGGCCAGCGGTCGGCGGAAAGTACCTATTGAAAAGAAGTTCAAAGGAAGCGCGCCTTGTTAACGCAATCTCTTCCTTTTTTTTCTCTCCCAGTTCTCTTTCCGTCGGCGATCCTTCTCTAGGTCTCTTTCTTTGTTTGTCTCTTTGGTCTTTATCTCCTTGGTTCTCTCTTTGTCTGTCTCTCTCTCTTTAGTTTTCTTTCGCGGTCTCCTGTGTCTTTAGTTACTTCTTTTCTCTATCGCTCTCTATTTCTTTCTCTGTGTCTGTCTGTTCTTTCTCGTTCTTTTTCTCTCTCTCTCCTCTCCCTTCGTTTCTTTCTCTATCCCTCTCTCTATTCTCCTCTCTCTTACGCAACTTGCAAAGCCTTTTAAGGTGAACATGAATAGGCTATTAACCGATTTTTGTTCCGGATTCTGGTTCATCTGCTAAAAGAATACTACTGCGGTTGTCTTCCTGTTTCTGTTAAGGGTTGTACAGGTTAAATATTTTAATTTATTATTATTTTTTGTAGGACGACGACGAGAAAAAGGATGGAGGAGGGAGAGGAGGAGGAGAAAGAGGAAGAGGAAGAAGAGGGAGAACAGAGTGGAGGAGGAGGAGGAGGAGGAGGAGGAGGAGAAGAAGAAAAGAAGAAAGAAGAAGAAGAAGAAGAAGAAGAAGAAGAAAGAAGAAGAAAAGGAAGGAGGAGAGAGAGGAGAGGAGAAGGAGAAGGAGAAGGAGAAGGAAAGGAGGAGGAAGAGGAGTAAGGAGAGGAAATGAGTAGGGGAAGGAGGAAAAGGAAGGAGGAGGAAGGAGGAAAAAGAAAAGGAAGAAGAACAGGAACAGAAAGAAAGAAGTAGATAAGATTTCTTTTTTTTTAATGAAGATGGAGAAGGCGAATACACGATGGACCGCCTTGACGACGCACAAGAGAGAATTCTGATTTAGACGCAAGCGAAAGGTCGAATCAGCAAGCTTTCGCAAGCGCTTTCTACTAGGATTCCACTCGCCCCCCCTACCCCCCGCCCCCCGCCCTCTTTCGCTCGATCGCTCTCGTTGTTTTTCTTTGTTTTGCTCTTCGTTTTGCTCTCTTTTTCTCTCTCTCATCTCTCTTTCATCTTTCTTTCGGTCTTCCTCTCCTCTTTCTCTCTTTTCCCTCTCCCTCTCTCTTCCCCTTCTTTTCTTCTTTCCCTCTCCTTTCTCTTTCTCCTCCATCTCTCCTCTCCCTTTCGTCCTCCTTTTTCCCTTTCTCCTCTCCCTCTCCATCTTTCCTTTTTCCTATCTATTCTTCCTTTCCCCTCCCTCTCGCCTCTCCTTTCCCTCTCTTCCTCTTCTCTCTCTTTTTCCCTTTCCCTCTCCCTCTCCATCTTTCTCTTCCTCTCTTTTCCCTTCTCCGTCTCTGTCTCAAAAAAAAAAAAAAAACTCAAACTCCACGCCACTTTTCTCTCTTTCCTCCTTCCTCCTCCTTTCATTCCCAACTCAAAAAAATAATAATAAATAAAAAAAAAAAAAAAAAACGCGCCTCAAAATATTACAGGAAAACAGATTTAAAAAATCTTTTTTACCCCCCCCCTCTAATTACGTATCAATCGCGCCTCAAAAATATTACAAGATAACAGATTTAAAAATAGTTTTTTTTCCCCCCCCCCCTCCCCAATTACGTATCCAAGCCACAATGAAATTACACGCATGAGCAGAGACTTCACAGCCACTCCGACCACAGCCACTCCGACCACAGCCACTCCGACCACAGCCACACCGACCACGCCACTCCGACCCACAGCCACTCCGACCACAGCCACTCCGACCACAGCCACCGACAGCCACTCCGACCACACTCCGACCACAGCCACTCCGACCACACCCAACACGCCAAGCCACTCCGACACAGCCACTCCGACACACATGCCACTCCCGACCACAGCCACTCCGACACACAGCCCACTCCGACCACAGCCACTCCGACCACAGCCACTCCGACCACAGCCACTCCGACCACACCACTCCGCACAGCAGCCACTCCGACCACACAGCAGCACACTCCAGCCACCACAAGCCTCTCCAGTGCGCAGCCCCGTGCAACTCGCTGCAACATTCTCCAGTCATCCAACCCTTTCGCCGCAGACCGTAAACACGCTTCTGGATCGTCACAACAATGGCACCACAAAAACTCTTTCTTTTTTTTTTCTTTTTTCTTTTTCTCTCTCTTCTCTTTCTCTTTCTTTATTTATGTCTTTTTTCTTCTTTATTTTTTCTCTCTCTTTCTGTCTTTCTTTTTTCTCTCTTTCTTTTTTTCTTTTTTTCTTTTCTTTCTTTTTTTTCTTTCTCTTTCTTTCTTTGTTTCTCTTCTCTTCTTTCTTTGTCCTCTCTTTCTCTTCTCTCTTTCTTTCGTTTTATGAAGGAGGAGGATGGTGTGTTTTGAGAAGGAGGAGGGAGAGAGGGGTAGTGGGGTTGTTAAGGAGGAAGGGGATAGGTAGAAGGAAGGGGGGGTAGGTAGGAGGAAGGGGGTAGGTTGGGAGGAAGGGGGGTGAAGGGGGAGGGGGAGGGGGGGAAGGGTGGGAGGGAGGAATAGGAGGAAGGGGGGGTAGTGGGAGGGAGAGGGTGGATGGGAGGAAGGAAATAGGAGAAAGGGTTGAACAGGGAAGGGGGGAAAGAGGAAAGCAGGAGTTAGGATGAGAAGGAGGAAGAAAGATGGAGAGAGAAGGAAGGAAGGTAGAGGTAGGATGGAAAGGGAGGGAGAGGAACGTAGAGCAGGGAGAGGAATGGAAGGGAGGCAAGAGAAGGATGGAGGCGCAAGAAAAAAATGTAGGAGCGAGAGAGAGGGAAAAGGGGAGAGGGTGGGAGGGAGATAGGGAGAGAGATGGGGGGAGAAAGCGAGGGAGGAGAGAGATGGAGGGGGAAGAAGATGGGAAGGAGGAAGGGGGAAGAGAGAGGGAGGAAGGGGAAGAGAGAGGGAGGAAGGGGGAAGAAGAGAGGGAGGAAGGGGGAAGAGAGAGGGAGGAAGGGGGAAGAGAGAGGGAGGAAGGGGGAAGAGAGAGGAGGAAGGGGAAAAGAGAGAGGGAGGAAGGGGGGAAGAGAGAGGGAAGGAGGGGGAAAAGAGAGGGGAGGAAGGGGGAAGAAGAGAGAGGAGGAAGGGGAAGAGAAGAGGGAGGAAGGGGGATAGAGAGAGGGAGGGGGAAGAGAGAGGGAAAAGGGGGAGAGAGAGGGGAGGGGCGGGAGAGAGAGAAGCCGGGGGTAGAGAGAAGATAGAAGGAATGAGCAGAGAGTTTTAAGGAAGGAGAGGAGAAGAGTGAGGGAAGGAGAGAAAGTGAGAGGTGAAAGAGTTGGAAGGAGAGGAAGTGAGAGGTGAAAGAGTGTGGAGGAAGGAGAGGAGAGGAGAGGAGAGAGAGGAGAGGAGAGAGAGTAGAGGAGAGAGAGGAGAGGAGAGAGAGAGGAGGGAGAGGAGAGGAGAGGAGAGGAAGAGGAGAGAGAAGAGAAGAGAAGAGAAGAGAAGAGAAGAGAAGAGAAAGGAGAGAGAAGAGAAGGGGGAAAGGATCTTACACACAAAGACATTCAAGACAGACATACAGACCAAGTCCAAATCGTACTCACTGCGACATCTGATGCAAAATAGGAATGCCATTGTAATTGCAATCGTGCAGATTCCCGTACTGCAGATCCTCGACCACCGGCTTCTCCGACCGACGCCAGATCTCGTAGGTGAAGTTGAATCCGTGGCGCCCTTGGTACTTGTCTGCCGGAGGAGAGGAAGGCGGTTGTGAGTGGTGGTTGGTTGGTGGTGGTTGTGGTTTGTGGTTGTGGTGGTGGTTGCTGTGGGTGGTTGTGGTTAGTGGTTGATGGTGGTTTTGTGTTGTGGTGGTTGGTGGTGGTGGTCGGTGGTTTGTGAGTGAGTGGTTGGGGTTGTGGTTGTAGTGTGGTGGTGGTTGTGGTGGTGTAGTGGTTAGTGGTGGTGGTTGTTGGTGTGTGTGGTTGGTGGTGTAGTGGTTGTGGTGGTTGGTTGTGGTTGGTGCTGGTGGTTGTGAGTTGGTGGTGCGTGTGGTTGGTGGTGGTCGGTGGTGGTTGTGGTGGTGGGTGGTGGTGGTGGTGGTGTGGTGGTGGTGGTGGTGGTGGTGGTGGTGTGGTGGTGGTGGTGGTGGTGGTCGGTGGTGGTGGTGGGTTGTGGTGGTGGTGGTGGTGGTGGTGGTGGTGGTGGTGGTTGGTGGTGGTGGTGGTGGTGGTGGTGGTGTTGGTGGCTGGTTTGGTGTGGTTGTGGTTGTGTTGTGGTTGGTGGTGGTGGTGGTGGTGGTGGTGGTGATGATGATGATGATGACAATGGTGGTGGGTGATGACGATGACGATGACGACGACGACGGACGACGACGACGCGACGATGATGATGATGATGATGATGATGATGACGACGACGATGACGATGATGATGGATGACGACGGACGATGATGATGATGACGATGACGATGATAATGATGACGATGACGAAGACGGTGCTAATAGGGGTGATGTTAAACACCTATTATCATTTGACCATAATCATGATACAAATGGCTATAACAAAACGTTGTTCTTTCCATAATAATTATTTTAATCACAACTAATGACTGCCCATGGTAATGTCAAATACGAGGTAGATTAGAGAGAGTGTTGTTGGGTGTGTAGATGGGTGTGGATGAGGCGTGAGTGTGGATGTGTGGGGCGTGGGTGCGGTGTGAGCGTGGATGTGTAGGTGGGTGTGTTGGCGCGGGTGTATGGGCGTGAGAGTGGGTGTGAGTGTGGGTGTGAGTGTGAGTGTGAGTGTGGGTGTGAGTGTGAGTGTGAGTGTGTGGTGTGAGTGTGTGTGAGTGTGGGTGTGGTGAGTGAGTGTTGGTGTGGGTGTGAGTGTGTGTGTGAGTGATGTGGTGTAAGTGTGGGTGTGGGTGGAGTGTGAGTGTGAGTGTGAGTGTGAGTGTGAGAGTGTGAGTGTGAGTGAGTGTGTGGGCGTAGGTGGGTGTGTGGAAAGGGTCGTGAGTGACTACAATGAAAGCTACCATCGTAAAGCAAATTTCCTTTTTATCAAATATTTTACACTTCTGAACAAGTTGGGTTTGTTTGGATCGGGTCGGGTCGGGCCGATCATCTAGTACAGACCAATTTCTATGGTGATCATGGATTTTTCTGTTTTAGTGCTAACAATTAAGCGATGCGGACATAGAACCACTGGACAGCACCCACAAGGCAAAACAATTAGAAATACTATTTCCTCTCTTTTTCTACAATCACCCTTCATTTCCCCCTTTCCCTCTTCCTTTTCCTCTCCCTTTCCTCTCTTTTTTACCACCCCTCTTCTCCCATCCCTTTCTTCCTTCCCCCTCATTTCCACTTCCCCCATTTACCCTAATCCTTTCCCACTTCCTTCCTTCTTCCTTACTAGATTGCGAGTAGAAAATCAGAATAGAAATAAAATACATTTAAGGTAAATTTGCTGACCAGGAGGTGGCAACAACCGAACGAGGGTGTCAAGACTCTCTTTAAAGAAAACGCAAACGTAAAGAAAACGATGTTCAATGAAGTTCAAATAACGTAATGACACTGCTAATTATCTCCCCGTCACGAAAATCGAACGTGCTATTTCCTAAAGTAATTAGCCATAAGGTTAATCAGCACTATTTCCGATTATATTAATTCATTCCAATTGCTTGCTGCTTGTTATTCGATGTTTGTTTACTTTCAGCGCGCGCACGGTGTCCAATGTCGAGTCTGGTTATATTTGTTTACATGTGGTATTCGCTCGTAATTAATCGTGATGAATGATAATGAATGTTGTATAAAACTGATGACGATGATGATGAATATGAATGAACGATGACGACGTCGGGAATCTGTATAATTAGGAGTAATTCTATAATTGGATTTCTCAGGCAATATTCGTTTTGATAAGATGGATGGAAGGGGGAAGAGGTGAAAAAAAAGAGAAGGAAATAGAGGGAGAGGAGAGGAGGAGGAGGAGGAGGAGGAGGAAGAGAAGGAGGAAAGAGGAGGAGGAAGAGGAAGAGGAAGAGGAAGAGGAAGAGGAGAGGAAGAGGAAGGGAAGAGGAAGAGGAAGAGGAAGGAGAAGAAGGAAGAAGAAGAAGAAGAAGAAGAAGAAGAAGAAGAAGAAGAAGAAGAAGAAGAAGAAGGAAGAAGAAGAAGAAGAAGAAGAAGAAGAGAGAAGGAAGAGGAGGATCAGAGGAATAGAGAAGAGAGAGAGAGAGAGAGAGAGAGAGAGAGAGAGAGAGAGAGAGAGAGAGAGAGAGAGAGAAGAGAGAGAGAGAGAGAGAGAGTGAGGAGTGGAAGAGGGAAGAAAGAGATGGTGGAGGCGGAGAGAGGAAGAGGAATGAGGAAGAAAAGGAGAGGGAATGGGTGAGGATGAGGAAGAGAAGTAGAGGGAGAGGGAGAGGAGGAGTAAAGGGCTAAGGAGAAGGATATGAAGTAATAAGAAGGGAAAAAAGCGAGTGGGAAAGAAGAGACACCGGAAAATGAAAATGAAAACAGAAGAAAACAAAGAGGAAAAAAACAATATATATAGCACATAAAATCAATGGAATGCACGCTCAAAAAGAAAAAGTTAGGACAGGAACTTCCAAACAATAACACCACCTCCCCATCTACCCCCCCCCCTCTCCCCCGACACGCACATACACAAACCATGATCTCATTAATCACTGGTATCAGCTGTTGACAATTACGCATGAATGCAGTTTTATTTTCCTCCTTAAACTTTCTTTATTTTTGTTTTCTTTCTATATCTCTTTTATATCGCTTTTCCATCTATCTCCTATTTGTCTTTCTTTATTTTCTCTATCACACTGTTTCTCTTTCTCCATCTCCTCCTCTACATCGGCTAACCTTTTTTCTATCGTCATTTACAGCTGATTATCCCCCCCATCTTCCTAATTCTTTTCCTTCACCAGTCTTTCCCATCCTCCCTCTGTTCCTTCCTCATATTTCTTTTTTCTTTCCAAGGATGCCCCCTTCCTCTTCTCTTCCTTCCTCTCCTTCCCCAATTTTCTCTTTTTCCCCTTTCCCTTACTCTCCCATCTCTTTTCTTCCCGTTCCTCTTCTATCTTTTCCTCACCCTTCCCATCCATCACTCCCCCTTCCCTCCCTGCCCTTCCCGTACCCAATCATAGCCTCCCTTCCCAGAACAACAACAACAACAACAACAACAACAACAACAACAACAACTACTACAACAACAACAACACGCACTGCCCCACACTAGCAGCAACATACCGTGGTGGAGGCGGTGATCCTCCGTCGTAGCCTCCCTCAGCGTGGTGACATTGAGGTAGACGTGGCCGTGGAGGAGCAGGCGGGCGTTGCCTTGCTCCGGCTGCAGGGCCTTGCAGTTGATCTTCCAGTAGGCGAGGTCGGTCACATACCGGCGGTTCTCGTGGTAGGTGCTGTTGCAGACGACCAGCTGCGGTGGTGAGAGAGTTGGGTGCTTAGATGGGATTTTGTTATGGTGGGTGCCTGTCTGAAGTGAGATGCTCGTGGTTATTCGGATTCATGTTTCTTTAGATCATATCACATCTGGGTGCCTTGATATGATACATAAAAGACGGAGGAATAACCCACCCCATTAGTAGATTGATGCTCAGATTCTTTTTAAAATATACTATATTTTTTTCTCGTTTCGACATCAACACGAAGATTAAAAAATAACCCTCTCCCTTACTTTGGCTTCGAAAGCAAAGGTACCCGGGCTGGATGAATTTAGTGGGTTTGGCGCATTTTACGACTTTGAAGCGAGGAGAAAGACACAGGGACTGACGCATTGTTACAAAGTTCCTGACAGACGACAACAATGAGGAAGCACCAACGACAAATGGTGGGGTGGGGGAGCGAATCTCTGGTGGCCCTATGGTGGCACCTCTGCAGCTGCCACAACTTAAAATGCCAAAATACCTTCCCCTATTGCCGTAAAAAGCGATCAATAAAGAGCAATTAGGATGTTTCGTCCTTAACGAGTGTTACAATGAATAACGCTGCAACCATCCCCCGACTCCCTTCCGGCGCCTGCTCTTTCGGTCGCCAATGGCGGGAGACGACCGCTGTCCGCTGTACCGAAGGGCGAGCCGCTAATACATGAGAATTAGTCACTCATTCGATAGCACTTCAGTAGAAAGGATATGCTTGAGGGCAAATGCATTTAACCATTGTAGATACCTGAATGCTAAAAACATTTTCGCATTACATTTCCGGAAAAAGGCTCCAAGAACTGTTTCTACATCTTTCTGAACAAATTAAGAAATGAAAAGGTTTAGAAAAATCATCATTAGACTCCAATGAAACTGTAAGAAAGAAAATACCGTTATTTTTCCTTGTCCCTTTGAAATGAAAAAGAAAGTGTTATCTCCAGTTTCACCCGCATAAGCCTGCCGTTCTAAAAGTAAACTACTAAGGCCTCAAAATTCGAAATTCTCCATAAGGGACCGTTACCTTACAAAATGATAAACATGCTTGCACCTTAATTCAATTCAAGGTTAGCGCTTTTTGACGGGGAAATGCACCTACGACTCCTGGGCAATGAATGGCCGCCGAACGACAACAGTTTTCCTGACACTTCATCAACATGGCACGGTGTTTTGGCATGCATATATAACAGCTGTGTTATACGATGGATTGTTTTTCAGTTCGGATTTACCGCGCAATTACTTAATTCGCCTGATTGTGAGAAGAGCTGGACGAAGAGGTTCTCCCCAGGCGATATTCCGGCGACGCCAAACTAATCCATAGCATTTATATTCTTGCACGAGAAAGCCTGTGTCTTCCTGATGATTTGTCATTAAGGATGGAACAAGCTTTGTCTCTCGCCGAATATGGGTAGGGTGGGTTATCAGCCTTTTTCGAAGCGCGGAGGCCACCGCGTCGGTTCTTGCGGTTCTACTCTGAACATTACCTGTACCAAATTGCCTTTTTGTTACCTGTTGTCAATACATTATATACATTGAGTGTTTATGTTGGGTTGCATTAAACTGAATGCTTATTTTTCACACTTGATTAATGGCAAAGTCTGTATAGATCTGTAACAAGATGTAGACCTATCTAATGAAGTCTGGTGCTCTCCATTTTCAACCTTACTTGATGGCAGGTGTTAAAAGGGAAATCTCCACAAGGGAATCATTAGGCCTTCCCCAAGTGCGCTGTCTGTTACAAACAAAGTGTACATCACACAAAATACGAAACAATGAATAGAATCATCTTCATGAACAAATTCTAATTCAAACAGCGCGTCTGAACGCGTTTAATCGAAACCCCAGTACTTACAGAAACATCTCTGGTGTAGATCTCATGGAAGTGGAAAGTGAGGTTGTGTGTGGGCGGCACTTCAAAGAACACAAGGCAGGTGTAGGGGTGTTGCAGGGGCGTGCTTGGGAAGCCTTCTTGGCAGAGGAACCCCACGGCAGAATGCTTTTCCTCGCTCCAACGCACAGTGCTTCCGCAGGGCGTGCAGGGACTGCTTGCTTTCGCCGAGGCGCCCGCGAGGAGCACCAACGCCAGTGCGACCGCCGCCCGCACGCCCGTAATTCTGGCATCCAGCACCAGCCGCATATGGGCGCCTTTCGTCGCATGCATTGCGTTCTCTTTCATTTTTTCAACTCCAACTTCCGCGTCTTTGAAACCGCCACCAGTGATACAAAATCAAAATAAATCGACCACTCGCATTGCGAAGTGCATAGTGTCGGCCAGTGAGGCAACACTCGAGATTGCAGGTGAAACAAATTCCTCAAAGAGTCAACAAGCTTGCAATACCGCACACTTGGCCCTCCACCTTTAAGCACTCTCTGGACGACACTGGCGGGCCAAGAGTCAGTCCAATACACTGAAGTGCTCCACTGACTCAGGAAAGGGTGGCGGGGAAGGAGGAACTTCAGTTGCCAAATCTTATTATCGCCGCCGTATTTTTAAATATTTCTCTAAGGAGATTTCAACTCACAGACAGCATTTTAGGGTCTTTGTCTCCGATTTGTTCGTCGATTAAAGACATATCCGCCATCTTAATTAATGCATAAAATATTTTGAAAATAGAAAAAAAATGTGATTTGGTCACACGTAACACTTAAAAAAGAGTATCCGCTTTGCCATACACCACAGTTCATTCATTCATCCCATACTTGATCAACCTCTGTGACTGCCTTGTTCGCCCGTTTAGTGATTCCCGAAACTATTGGTTACCGCCATTCACTTGACAGGAAGCGGCGAAGGAGTTCTTAACGACGGTTGGGTCTTGGGTTTTCAATAACGGAAGGGATGAATAACGGATATTTTTTTCACTATTGTTAATTAAATGTGTTATTCAGGCGATTTTTTTCCAATATACTTTCAGTATTCTCTATATCTGTTTTACCCTTTTGTATGATTTGGGAATTGTACCTTTGGAGGAACTTGGCATACGTGTCAATTTGCTTTGTGATAACTTCATCACGACGGTTTTTCCTTGATATTTATAGTGGGTGATACATGTCAGCGTTATGATATACAGACTTTGATATTTTGTATAAGCACGGGAATAAAAGAAAGTGTCATGACTCGACATATGGTAATTATAAAAGTTCTGCAGTCAAAGCGTGAATGCAAAGCAAGATTGGGAAAGTGCTGGCAAATCTGAATTTCTATTCTGCGCAGTTCAGTGGATTATTATTTTTAACAATATTGAAAATTTCTCATCCTTTGTTTGCAATTTGCGTTCGACCCTTCATTCAAAACGACTACATTTAACCCTCACCTTCACTAACCATCCATATTAACTGACTGGCGCGTGTCACGTTCTCTCTGAAATAAAGGAAACCAAAATTCTCTATAACACAAAAACAACCAAACTTCCGGTCTGCATTTCGCTCCAAAAAGAACAGCAATGATTAATCCTGCGTCCCTGTGTTTATAAACAAGAGCGAAGCGGAATCACGACCGTCGCATACTCCATGGAAATGCGCACAAGTCGACGCATCAGAAACGTTGTGCTGGAAATCTACACGTTAAGTTGAAGGATTGTTGATTCTCTACCTTTATACCTTCCTCTTGCAGTTGTGAATAATAAAAAAGAGAACAGCTCTTGCAGTTGTGAATAAAAAAGGGAACAGCTCTTGCAGTTGTGAATAAAAAAAGAGAACAGCTCTTGCAGTTGTGAATAAAAAAGAGTACATACAGCTTGTGCGTTTTGATTGTCAGATTGTTATATAAATAGGGCGCGAGAGTGGCTTTCGACGTCTCTGCTGTCGCATCACCTGTAACAAACTAACAGCATCAGGAAGCACCATCTAGCTACAGGCCCTGAAGTCACAAAACACGAGGCATGACCTTGACATTGACCTGTCAACTGATATCCAACATTCCATCACGCTTCTCTAGCATCGCCTCTCGTCCACGCGGCGCCACCTTGTCTTTTTCGTCCACGTGGTGCTATAGAGAAAAGGCCACTAAAATACAGAATAAAAAAAAATAAAGAGTAAGATCAATAATAGGCAGTATTTAAAAGTAATAGAAATGTGTTACGTGTACGCTGCTGACGTTGACAGAGATAAAAATAGCGCAAGTGTAATATGGAAGGAAAACATTCGTCTAGCTTCGAGGTCCTGGAGGCGAGCGCTCGTGTCCGCAGAGGAGTGTTGGCGTCGACGTGTTTGAGGACTTTAGGTTAGGACCACGTTTAAGCCATTCTACCACGTGGCATATATGGTTGTTCTTCTTTGTGAAATAATAATTGTACCTAATATGATTATGAATGACACATGCATTCTATTTTAAATATCATAAACAACTATAATGTCTAGACAATATACTAAGCTTCTAAGAGGGGAAAAGGGATTCCATAAATATGTATAGTTTTTATTATTTAGTATCTGCCGTTCATTTATTATTTGTTTACAGGCGAGGAAGAATTTGCTTTAGGCAATTATTTAATTACTTCACAGACCATTTCTTCTTTCCAAGGCATCGACGTGTGAGATTTTTTTTAGTCTCTCTATCTATCTATCTATCTATCTTATCTTATCCTCCCTCCCCCCCCCCCCCCCTCTCTCTCTCTCTCTCTCTCCTCTCTCTCTCTCTCTCTCTCTCTCTCTCTCTCTCTCTCTCTCTCTCTCTCTCTCTCTCTCTTCTCTCTCCCTCTCTCTCTCTCTCTCTTCTCTCTCTTTCTCCTCTCTCTCTCTCCTCTCTCCTCTCCTCTCTCTCTCTCTCTTCTCTCTCTCTCTCTCCTCTCCTCCGTTCTTCTCTCCCTCCTCTCTCTTCTCTCTCCTCCCTCCTCCCTCTCCCTCCCGCTCCCTCTCCTCTCTCTTCTCTCGCTCTCTCTCTCTCTCTCCTCTCTCTTCTCTCTCTCTGCCTCTCTCTCTCTCTCTCTCTCCTCTCTCTACTCTTCTCTCTCTCCCTCTCTCTCTCCCTCCCTCCCTCTCTTCATTCTCTCAGATCAAATAAGTCCACTTCACTTGCGTGAAGTGCATGTTTGTTTGCTTGTGTAAGTTACCGCAGTGATATATTTTCCTTCTAGCACCGAGCAGGTAAAGAATGTACGGTTTTTGCAATTACCGCCAAATAAAAAACTCTGCCCATCCCTCTAGAAGGAAAAAAAATTACCCACTCCGGTAAACTTACCACAAGCAAAAACAAAACAAAACATGCCACTTCCACGCAAATGACAGTTGGCTATGTGATATAGAGAGAATGGAAGCAGAGGAGAGGCAGAGCCGAGAGAAGAGAACAGAGATGAAGAAAGGAAGAGGAACGAGAGACGGAGAGCAGAGCGACCGGAGAACGGGAGGGAGACACTTTTGGGAGGTACGAGAGAAGGAGAAGGGAGGACGGCGAGAGGAGAGAGGAGAGAGGGAGAAGAGAGAGTGAGAAGACACAAGACGACTGACGAGAGAGAGAGAGGAGAAGAAGAGAAGAGAGAGAGAGTGAGACCGACGAAAGAGCGAGGAGAGCAGAGAGACGAGAGAGAAGAAGAGAGGGAGGAGAGAGAGGAGGAAGAGAGAGAGAGAGAGAGAGGAGGAGAGAGGAGAGAGAGCAGACGAAGGAGAGAGAGAGAAGAGAAGAGGAGTGAGAGAGAGAGGAGAGAGAGAGAGAAGAGATGAGAGAGAGAGAGAGAGAGAGAAGACAGAGAGAGAGAGAGAGAGAGAGAGAGAGAGAGAGAGGGGGGGGCGGGGGAGGGAGTAAAGATAAAGATAGATAGATAGATAGATAGAGAGACTAAAAAAATCTCACACGTCGATGCCTTGGAAAGAAGAAATGGTCTGTGAAGTAATTAAATAATTGCCAAAGCCCAAATTCTTCCTCGCCTGTAAACAAATAATAAATGAACGGCAGATACTAAATAATAAAAACTATACATATTCATGGAATCCCTTTTTCCCCTCTTAAAAGCTTAGTATATTTGTCTAGACATTATAGTGATTTATGATATTTAAAATAGAATGCATGTGTCATTCAATAATCAATATTAGGTACAATTATTATTTCACAAAGAAGAACAACCACATATGCCACGTGGTAGAATGGTATAACGTGGTCCTAACCTAAGGTCCTCAAACACGTCGACGCCAACACTCCTCTGCGGACACGAGCGCTCGCCTCCAGGACCTCGAAGCTAGACGAATGTTTTCCTTCCATATTACACTTGCGCTATTTTTATCTCTGTCAACGTCAGCAGCGTACACGTAACACATTTCTATTACTTTTAAATACTGCCTATTATTGATCTTACTCTTTATTTTTTTATATTCTGTATTTTAGTGGCCTTTTCTCTACAGCACCACGTGGTCGAAAAAGACAAGGTGGCGCCGCATGGACGAGAGGCGATGCTAGAGAAGCGTGATGGAATGTTGGATATCAGTTGACAGGTCAATGTCAAGGTCATGCCTCGTGTTTTGTGACTTCAGGGCCTGTAGCTAGATGGTGCTTCCTGATGCTGTTAGTTTGTTACAGGTGATGCGGCAGCAGAGACGTCGAAAGCCACTCTCGCGCCCTATTTATATAACAATCTGACAGTTAAAACGCACAAGCTGTATGTACTCTTTTTTTACCACAACTGCAAGAGCTGTTCTCTTTTTTATTCACAACTGCAAGAGCTGTCTCTTTTTTATTCACAAACAAGAGCTGTTCTCTTTTTTTTCACAACTGCAAGAGCTGTTCTCTTTTTTTCACAACTGCAAGAGCTGTTCTCTTTTTTTTCACAACTGCAAGAGCTGTTCTCTTTTTTATTCACAACTGCAAGAGCTGTTCTCTTTTTTATTCACAACTGCAAGAGCTGTTCTCTTTTTTATTCCACAACTGCAAGAGCTGTTCTCTTTTTTTATTCACAACTGCAAGAGAACTGCAAGATCTGTCTCTTTTTTCATTATTCACAACTGCACCCGAGGAAGTATAAGGTAGAGAATCAACAATCCTTCAAGCTTAACGTGTAATTTCCAGCACAACGTTTCGTGAGCGGTCCGACTGTGCGCATTTCCATGGAGTATGCGACGTCGTGCATTCCGGCTTCGCTCTTGCTTTATAAACACAGGGACGCAGCGCATGAATCATTGCTGTTCTTTTTTGGAGCGAAATGCAACCGGAATTGTTGTTTTGTGTTAGAAGCAATTTTGGTTTCCCTTTATTTCAGACCGAGAACGTGACACCCGCCAGTCAGTTAATATGCATCGCGGTAGTGAAGGCGAGGTAAATGTCAGGCGTTTGAAT